CGCGTTCTCGCTCAGCCCCCGCCAAACCCAGCCGGCAGGGCTCCCTCGAGCCGGGGCCTTCTGATCCCCGGCTCGCTCGCGCCCGCCTCCGCCTCCGCCCCGCCGGGGGTGGCCCCGAGCGCCCGGCCTCGCCCGGCCCGGCTGGCTGGGACCATGGTGTTCCTCTCCGGAAACGCCTCGGACAGCGCCAACTGCACCCACCCGCCGGCCGCGGTGAACGTCTCCAAGGCCATCCTGCTCGGCGTGATCCTGGGGAGCCTCATCCTCTTCGGGGTGCTGGGGAACATCCTGGTGATCCTTTCCGTCGCCTGCCACCGGCACCTGCACTCGGTCACCCACTACTACATCGTCAACCTGGCGGTGGCCGACCTGCTGCTCACCTCCACGGTGCTGCCCTTCTCCGCCATCTTCGAGGTCCTGGGCTACTGGGCCTTCGGCCGGGTCTTCTGCAACGTCTGGGCGGCGGTGGACGTGCTGTGCTGCACGGCGTCCATCATGGGGCTCTGCATCATCTCCATCGACCGCTACATCGGCGTGAGCTACCCGCTGCGCTACCCGGCCATCGTCACCCCGCGGCGGGGCCTCGCGGCCCTGCTCTGCGTCTGGGCGCTCTCCCTGGTCATCTCCATCGGGCCCCTGTTCGGCTGGCGCCAGCCGGCCCCCGAGGACGAGACCGTCTGCCAGATCAACGAGGAGCCGGGCTACGTGCTCTTCTCTGCGCTGGGCTCCTTCTACGTGCCGCTGGCCATCATCCTGGTCATGTACTGCCGGGTCTACGTGGTGGCCCGCAGGGAGAGCCGCGGCCTCAAGTCCGGCCTCAAGACCGACAAGTCGGACTCGGAGCAAGTGACGCTCCGCATCCACCGCAAGCACGTCCCCGCGGCGGGCGGCGGGCTGGCCAGCGCCAAGAGCAAGACGCACTTCTCGGTGAGGCTCCTCAAGTTTTCCCGGGAGAAGAAGGCGGCCAAGACGCTGGGCATCGTGGTCGGCTGCTTCGTCCTCTGCTGGCTGCCTTTCTTCTTGGTGATGCCCATTGGTAAGTCCTCGCGGCGAGGCTCGTCTTAGCGTCCGAGGGTCTTCGCCCTCTGCCCTGCGGAGGCCCCAGACTCGCAGTCCGGGAGGGCAGAGGAGGGGTCTGCGTTGCCAACGGCGCGGCTCCGGGGTGTGGAGGAAAGGCGCCCTCCCGTTGTGGAAGTGTGGCTTCCCATTGTCTTTCCACTCCAGTCTCCTCTGCATTCGTTCGGTCCCGGGGCCCTTTTTCAACCACCGCAAAGTGGCTTCCAGCTGATGCAGATTAATTGGTCTCCTTAATAAGAATGTCAACTTTCCTTCAGGCCTTTAAGCGAGTGTTTGATTTAAATACATCTGCTTAGGCAGACGGTGGAAAGCCTCTGTCTCTCTGCCACGGGAAAGCAAATTCTCTTGGCCTGAAAATAATTTCCATACTCATTCTGGACAAATACGTGATTTTACGGTTACACTAGATTATTCATCAGGGTTCGTTATAATGGTCTGCTTATGTTCTAGATCTGTGTTCATTTTATTTTCTGGATTCAGTATGGAAGGAATTGTGGTGAGCTACTAGTACCAAAAAAAAAAAAAAACACACACACACCGATTTTATGCCCAAGTCAACTTAAGCCTTAAATAATTTATCATAATGTTTCTAACAAGCAAGTATATTCTTTAACTTCACTAGTAAAGTATTAAAACAAACACAGTTCTTATCCAAAGTCATCTGAGAGGTTGCAGATGACACTGTTGGAAAATAATACAGTCCATGTAGTGTTACAAATCCAATTTTTGCAGATGCTAAATTAGCTGTTGTCAAAACTAATTAGTTCATTATAAGTATCAGCAAGCTGATCCACTTGGAATGGTCATTTATCTCTGAAAAGCCTTCGATGAGATCCCAAAATGGTTGTTTGCTATTTTTAGTCTGTAAAGCTCTATTATAGCCCCACACATCAGTTAACTCTAAAAAACAAAAAGTCAGGGTAAGCATGAATAAAGTCCATTTCAGCTGCTTCAGAGCCAAATTTAAATGACAGAAACTTAAAGCACTTTAATTGGCAACTCTGTGTAGTAATAGCAACTATTACTTTTTGAGTGCCTGCTATGTTCCAGATATTCTATCAGGCTTTTTATTTCATGAGTCCTCTTGACAACCCAGTGAGCTATGCATGATTATCCTGCAATCAGAAGTGGGAGGGAAAGGAATTCTTCAGGTACTAACATCACAGCCACCTGTAGCTGTGATTAAATTTCACATGTAGCTGAAATTAAATAAAATCAACATTCACTTCCTCAGTGCCACTAGCCACGTTTCAAGCGCTCAATTGCCACACGTGGTTAGTGGCTACTGTTGTGGACAGCAGAGATACAAATCATTTCTATCATTGCAGAACCTTCTGTCCCTCAGGGCTAACTGGAGAGGTCCTTTCTCAGTCCACCAGTCCTTCCATCTGTGATCCTGTCTGTGATCCTTACTTACTCTGTCCTAGGAGCACATCACAGCTTTGAATTTACTGAAATAACCCTCTTCACCTGCCTGCTCACTTACCTTCTTGCCTCCTGTCTCTGCCTGCCGCCTAAACGCTGCATGTGCTTTCATGCATTCGCTCACTTGACAAGGATTTATTGAGCACTTGCTCTAGACATTTAGGATGAACAAAGCACAAAAGGCCTTGCCAACGAGGCATCTGCATTTGGAGGAGATAGACATAAACAAATAAATATGTCCTACAAAGTAGAGGATCAACAACCACTGTCAAAAAACCCAACAGGGGCTGAGCACTGAGGCTCATGCCTGTAATCTCAGCACTTTGGGAGGACGACCTGGGAGGACTGCTTGAGGCCAGGAGTTCGAGACAGGTCTGGGCAACTTAGCGAGGCTCCATCTCTACAAACAAAAGTAAAAATTAAAAAATTAGCTCGGTGTGGTGGCACCTGGGAGGTTGGGGTGGGAGGATCACTTGAGCCTAGAAGCTTGAGGCCGCAGTGAGCAATGATTGTGCCACTGCACACTAGTCTGGGAGACAAAGCAAGATCCCAACTCTTAAAAAATATATATATATAAGTCAACAGAGTAAGAGGCTAGAAAATGACAAGGACAATGGGTAGGGGGAGAAGGGAGTAGTGGTCAGGTAAGTCCTAGCTATTGAGGTGATATTTGAGCAGAATCTGACTGGAGTGAGGAAAAACCCTTACAAGGTCTGGGAGGAAGAGCCTCCTGGGAACAGCACATACAGAGATCAGAAAGCACCTGGCCCGTTTCAAGGAAAATGGAGGAGGCTGGTATGGCTCAACTACAGACAGTAAGTGGAAGGCAAGTTCAAAGAGAGATTGGAGAGATAGACAAAGCCAAGGTCATGCAGGGTCTTGTGGGCCAAAGTAAAATTCACATATTATTCTAATTATGATGGAAAACCATTAGAGGGTTTTTTGCAGGTGAGTGATTGGTCTCCTTTACATTTTTAAAGGACTGTTCTGGTTGCAGGGTAGAGAATGGGTTGTCTAAGGGCAAGAGAGGAAGCAAAGACACCAGGTAAGAGGCCACGAGAGAAGTCAGGGGGAGAGAGTTTGTGACACCTTGGACTCAGGTGGGACAAGTGGAGGTGGTAAGAAGTGATCACATTCAGCTTTTATTTCAAAGGCAGAACGAACAAGTTTGGACATAGAGTGTGAGACACAGGGGCATAGAGGTGACTTAGGGCTTGAGCAACTTAGCCCGGACAACTTAGTGAGACCCTGTCTCTGCAAATATAAATAAAAATTTAAAAATTAGTCTGGTGTGGTGGCATGCACCTGTAGTAGTGCATTTTACTGAAATTACAAATCCGAAGAATAACAGAGTTGGAAGAAGCTGGATGGAGCTGGAATTGAAGTCATTTATTTTGCATACACTATGTTGAGAAGTGCCCATTAAACATCTAAGTCAAGGTGTCAAGTAGACTGTGCATATCAATTTGGAGCTTCGAGGGGGGAAGGTGGTCTACAGATATAAATGTGGGGCACATCAACATTTCCAAAGCCACAGGAATAGAGAAATCAGCAAGACAGCAGGTGTAGAGAAAAGAGAGGTGAGTACTGAGCCTCGGGGCATTCTTATACTTGACCTGGGGCAGGGAAAGGAAGAGGGAGAGCCAGTCAGCAACCTCGATTGAGAAGAAGTAGCCAGAGAGGCAGGAGAGAAATCAGGAGAGTGTGGTGTCCTCAAAGCCTAATGAAAATGTTTCAATAAGGCAGGAGTAATCAGCGGTGTCACAGACAGCTGCTAGGTCAGGTTAGAGAGGACTGAAAATCAAGATTGGGTTTGGCAGTAAGGAGTCCTTAGTAATATGAGGACGTTATGTGGGCTTTAGTGGAATGATGGGACCAAAAGCCTGTTGTGTGCTTTTGTTTTTTGTGGGTTTTTTTGAGTTGGAGTCTCGCTCCATCACCCAGGCGACCTGCTGGGTTCAGGTGATCCTTCTGCCTCAACCTTCCAAATAGCCAGAACCACAGGCTCACTACCACACCCAGCTAATTTTTTTTTTTTTTTGTAGAGGTCTCGCCAAGTTGCCCAGGCTGGTCTCCAACCTGCAGGCTCAGGCAATCCCCTCACCTCGGCCTCCCAAAGTGTTGGGATTACAGGCTGAGTCACCCAGCCCAGCCTGATTTTGTACTTTCCAAGGAGAACGAAAGATGAAAAAGAGGGAACAGGGAAAATTGACACCTCCTGTGAAAAGTTTTGCTAGACAATGGAGCTGGGAAATGTGGTGTAGGCGGAGGGACAGAGAGTTTTCTGCCAGGCACGGTGGCTCACCACTGTAATCCCAGCACTTTGGGAGATCAAGGTGTGAGGACTGCTTGAGGCCAGGGGTCTGTGGCCAGCCTTGGCAACATAGTGAGACTTTGTCTCTACAACATAAAAATTTTTAAAAAATTAGATGGTGGTGGTGCGTGACTAGTCCCAGCTACTCGGGAGGCTGAGGCAGAAGGATTGCCTGAACCCAGGAGGTTGGGGCTGTGGTGAGCCATGATCATGCCACTATATTCGAGCCTGGGCAACAGAGTGAAACCCAGACTCAAAAACAAAAACGGGATAATTTTCAAAGGTAGAGGTTGGAGATGTGACATCATATTTGTATTCTAATAGGAGCAAAGGAATAAAGAGAAACACTGATGGTACTGGCAAGAGAGGAGATGAAATCCAGTGCCCCAGAGGAAGATTGGGAAGGGACGGGGAAGGCACGTGTCAGAATGTCCCAGGGCAAGTAGGTAAGGAAGGGAGAGAGAGTGATTTATTCAGGATATTTTTATGTCCTCAGTAAAGTAAGAGGCAAGATCATAAGCTAAGAGTGATGAAGGAATAAGGAACAATACCCATTCGAGGAACAAAGACAAGATATGAAATAGTCACCTTTGGGAGTGGGAGAGTAAACACACTATGGACACTTAGTAGAGTCACTAGGAAGCCCTGAGGGCCTATTTGAGATTCATGGTCACAACTTTAAAGTAGGGCATTCGGGAAGGTTGACGGTTGTTCTCCAAAAGTCAAGCGGCTGAGGGATACAGAGGGCATTGCTGATGACTGTGAGTTCTGAGAAGTGTGGTGAAGAAGGGGTGTTTGTGAAGGGACACGGACTTGGTCACGTCGGGGAGCACACAGGACCAGGTTGTGGAAAGAGCCCAGGGGATGATAGGTGGCCTGAGAGTTTGAGATCTGAGGTGACAGCTATACAGGGAGACGAGATACAACGGCTTGGGCCCTGGTGTCCTGTCGGGGAAGGTGGACGTTCTAGTCTAAGCGTAGCCCCCTCTTGGGTCTGCTCTCTCAGGGTATTAGTCATGTTGAGGTGAAGATGTCATGGTGGAGGGAAGATGTGGTGGAAAGTAGCCCTCAAAGCAGCGGGCTTCCTTAAAATCCCAGTAAGGTGATATGACAGGAGGGAAGTGGAAAACGTTAGTTCATAGGGTCTGAGCAGATTGCTCAGTAGAGCAAAGAGTTCCTATACCCGCCAACCTGTGGTTCTCAGTTTTCTCTTGACACCC